AATGCAGCACGGGAAATGCGCCAAATTAGAAGAGCGGATTAGAAAAGCGGATGGTGCGGACCGAGTAATTGGTGTCTGTGAGCCAATTAGTCGGAAAGAAAATAAATGCGCGATTCTTGAAAAAACAATCGACTATTGAGTCGCGTACGTAAAATTCACATCAAGCGTATTTATATGTTATTTATATTTTACTTTCGGATATGTACACTCTCTTATTAAATTGCACTAATGAATCTTTGTGTAAAATAAAAACTATATAGATGTAATGAACTTTTTAGTAAATTGTAAACTTTACTATCTTTGCACATTAATTTACTGCAATATAAGTATTAAAAGCAAAATTTTCTATTGCAAATTTTATTTGACACTGTAAGACTAATATTAAAAATTATTCAAAACAAAAGATTCAGACCATTTTTCCAATTTTACAATAAATTTTAAAAGCGTAGGAAATATGAATTTTGCTTTTACATATAATCTTGTATGTAATGTTTATTTTAATATAATTTAATATTAAATATATAACTGCAGGCATGTAGAGTGACTGTACATGCAATTGGCTATGTTCAAAAATCTATTCGTTTCATGAACCGCAGAAAAGGTCACACATTAAAATCGTCTCACTCTGTATATGAAAACGTTAATGAATTACAAATTGTGCAAAGCCTCGGAATTTGCCTATTTTTAATGATAAATGCATTTTTATGCGTATTTGTTAAGTTCCATCTCGAAAATCTCGATTTACTATAAAAGTATATATGGGATATTTCTGAATATGGGACATTTTTTACGTGCAAATAAATATTATTTTTTCGCATTTTGTTAATTGATAAGAAATGTATGAAATGGGGAAAAGGGATACAAGATAAATTAAGAAAAAAATTCGTTTGATCGATGTTCGATGTTCGATGTTTTTCGTAACACGATTGAATTTTGATTTTTCAGGACGCTCTAATAAATGGAACGTTTTCATTTATCATTGCAGTTGGCTGCCATCGCTCTGAACTTTGGCGTACTGGTCTCTGCCATTTACGAGGGTATTTACGCTCGAAGAGGTGGCGACCCAACCAAGATTAGGGTCGTCACGGATCCCCGTGGAACCACTATAAATAATCCAGGATATCGGGAATATCACCAACCCACGAACGGTAAGCTCAAACTGGACAGAAGTTCAATTTCCCAAAGTCTTATTCGCAAATTGACCGAATTTTTCCACTGAATTTAGATATATTTCTTTTTGATATCATGTCAGGCACAGATTAGCTAACGCTAGACGATATAAGGCCGTTAAAACAATTGACATCTGTTTCTAAAATATATCTGATTTAATGCGAAATTGCTTCTATATATTATCGTTCTTATTTCATAGATAATATATTATTAGATAATATTGGATAAAAATTATGAAACGATGATCTCCTACGCCCTTTTATGTAGAGATATATTGAAGAGGCATAAAAAAGATTTATTAAATGTATAATTTCAATTCTTAAAGCAATTTTTATAAATTTATTACAGCTATCCCGAACGATTAATACCCTAATATGTACGTATGTCTAATTTCTATCTAATTTCCAAGAAAGATCCACTATAAAGTTAATGTTCTTTTTGCGTTATACCCTCTTATGAACGAGACATCTTTCTTCGTTAGAATTCCTCTCTCTGATGCATCTTTTCTCTTTGAAACATCCAACTCCGGTTTTATCACAAAGTTACGATAATTTATATCGTATTTATACCGTATTTGCCGATACTTGGCCAGCTTACCTGAAAGAGCTTGGTTTAACCAGCTGACATAAAATTAATATATTTCTCAGGGAAAAGAAATACATCTACAAACGATAAAATTTAAAGGACGTTACACATTGATGGGATAAGAAGAGAAATGAAAGAAAGAAAAAGGTGTAAAGAAATAAGAACGTAATATCGCATGTACAACTCTGTTTCTTTTTCTTTTTTTTTTTACTCGTAAGGAATCTTACATGCAAATATATATACGCAGGATGCGGCAAATTGTGGCATGTCTTGTGGTCTCGCATTTGCCCGCTGCATAGCGAGATAGCGTTGCGGTACACCGAATAGCCCGCCGCGATATGTAGCGTTACGCTACGCGTGGCATGTTGCCCGCGCGCGTCTTTGCCGCATGTGCCGTGCGTAAAATTCTCGCATCCAATATGTCAAATCCATTCACTGTAACTTGTAGATTTAGCTTTACCGATCGATAAGACAATATAATTTTTTTTATCATTTTAATACGCGTAACGCTCGTCGCGATGTAAGTCGCATATTATAGTATATCACATTATATATCCGAAAATTTCAAATCATATACATTGGACGTGTTTATTTTTATTTACAATGAAAAAATTATGAATATATATATATATATATTATTCTAAATCGCAAGATTTAAAGATAATACCAACAATTTTGTGGCTGTTTAGAAATTAGATAAAAAGTTTAATATATAAAGTGGAACTGTGCTTTAATAGAAATGTAATTAAGAAATAATGATAAAAATCTCAATTTTTTAATATAATTTTTTTATATATTTTAAGTATTCAAGATGTGTTTATATAAAGGTTCATTGCAATGCAGAGATTAATTGTTTTGTAAACAAAAATTAAATTTTTATTTACAGAACAACTAATCTCCACATCGTAATAAAATTTTGTATAAATAATCTTGGCTATTTAAAGAACTTATATTAAAAAATGGAGATTTTTGTCATTATTTCTCAATTATATTTCCATTAGAGCATCTACTTATTTATTTAAATAATTTCTGAATCTGATACTAAATCGCCGCTAAACTTTTTTGTATTATTTTTAAATGCGATTTTGAATAATTTGTAAGTTTTTTTCATTGTTCAAATATAAAAATTTTAAAAATAAGAGTAATACATCCATAATATGTCCGTAATATGAAGATTTAAATACATATATTTATTAATTTTATTGTTTGGTATATTTTATTGTTTGATAATATCGAAACAACAATAATGCCGAAACCATCGAATATGATACATAATTGAAACGTTTCGCGTAATGTTGTTATTGGCATTTCTAATTCTGAAAGTTCTTGGAGATTCAAGCGAAATCGAGAACGAAAGAAAAAGTAATCGACAGTTCCGTTTCGTTTTAGGTGGTACGATCTCGATGACAGACGCCAGCGGCAAACCGTACGTCGGCGGGGCCGGAAACGGATCGACGGCGTCGGTAGCGACTTCCGGTAGCGCGGCTAGCACGGCTTCGCCTCTCAGGAGCTCCCTGAAGAAGCCGAAACCTCTCGGCATTCATAATCCTGGCTTCTCGGCGCACAGCCCGACCCTATCGAGGAACGGCTCGCAGAAGAAAGTGCGTATACAGACGCATTCAACGGAAGTTTAGCCTCTCGATGCTCTCTTGGCATGTTGTCGGTTTGCTACGTGATTGCAGTACCGTTGTCGTTTAAGGCTGCTGCGGAAACAGGAAATCGGAATGACGATGACAAGACGTCTACTCAAAGTAGTTTTCCATGTGACATGTGCACGTTCCATTAACGGTAGGTGGTTTCCAATATTCCCTATCGTTGATCCGGCAAAAGCACGATCAAAGATGAAGTCATGTCTCACTTTGTCAAACGATTTGCCGTTCCATCGCGGTCGATGACGCAAAACTTCTTTATCGTTGACTTCGCCCGTAATTTCGATAATGGGACTTTTAATGAGTTTTGGAGGCACGATCATGTCGTTCGCGAGTTTCGTATATCGTTACGTATATCGTTAACAGAATGTATATAAGCTTATACGCACGATCGATAATCACTGGAACTCTTCGAAGCTACCTGAATTAAATATCAAACAAATGCAGATCAAACGCGCGATTGATAGTGACTCGTTAAGTATTAGGTTTTTCAATTTTTCCAATTTTTCTATAATATCTTTACATGATGGATATTCGTACATCCATAGATATTCGTATAGATTAATAGAGTATACGAATAAACTATGAAAATACTGGCGAGAGAATAAGATGGACTAAAGTAAATATCGAAAAATATATATATATATATATATATATATATATATATATAGTTAT